AAGCTAGCGAAGTCGTAGTATATATCGTCACAAATATATATATATATATATATATATCGTCAAATAGAACTGCCCGGTAAACCGTAGGCAGAGAGGGAGAAGTATATATATATATCGTCACAAACAGACATATATATATGTATACAGATGTCATTCCACATCAGGGAGAAATGGCCAACAAAAGAGAGAAAAAGAAAAAACAAAAAAGAGAGAGGTAAAATATAAATATATATATATCGTCACAATATATATATATCGTCAAGCTGAAGACCCCGTTAAAAACCGCAGGTAGAGAGGGAGAACAGGACAACAAACGACGGGCTGTGACAGACTGTTCCGTCTCGTCGGAGTCTCACCGACTCATCAGGAGGCTGAATATGTATCAACGGCTGAAAATCGACAATTCGGAAAAGTGGAGAAATCATTCCCTGCCGGGGAGAGATTGTCTGTCACGCGACGACCGTCTTTCCCCCTTTCGAATATTTGGGGCAACCTTCAATTTCACAGTGAGGGCTTTCTGTACGATAAGATAAGGCCACGCTTGTGGCTCAAATTTACCAGCTTGTAATTGTTGACTCAATTTTGAGAACCAGTTGATCGTGAGTGTCGCTCCCGGAGTCATATTACCAGGATTACCACGGCAGATGCAGCGGTAATGACCGTGCGTTCTATTCGAGGGAAGCCGATCGAGGCGCAGTCCATGTCGACCGTAGGGACTTAGGGTTTGAGGATTTTGTCAGGGTTTTATCCCTTCGGGGATTCAACTTTTACATTCCTGGCCGCAATTTCGGCGTTTTTATAACGGAAATCCGCAGGCCTAACCGCGTTCCCGCGAGTAGGACCTGACGATTTCTGTTTTAAAAAACGCCAAAATTAATCGGCAGGCCTAACCGTGTTCCCGCCAGTAGGACCTGACAATTTCTGTTTTAAAAAACGCCAAAATTGCGGCCAGAAACGTCAAAGTGGAATGCTCGAAGGAGTACAATTCAACCACCTTTTGGCTCTCTCACATCCACAACCCACGTGGCTGCATGCAATCAAAAACCACACGGCGGTGCTCTGCTACTGCTGCTGCTCCTACAAGCGTCGTACCCTGCCCTCGATCCCAGCACTGATGAATTGCCAGGGACGAGCGCGTCACAGGAAACAATGCTCACTGGTAGAGCATCAATGCGGTCTTTCCGGCCCAAATAGAACATACGGTCATTACAGCGGTATTTGGGGCAACTTTCAGTCCAGATACGGGGACGATGACCGTCCGTTCTCTGTTCTATTCGGGTGGTGACGACGCCAGTGGACAAAATGATTGAGAAGCCGAACGCCGTACAGCTTGATACCAAGAAGACTACCGTATTCCCCCGAACGTATTCCCCCGAACACATCGCACCCTCATTCTCGCTGCAACGACCCGGAAAAATAGCTTGTGTACATTCATCAACATCCGTTATCAGGATGCGTTGTGTTCGAGGGAATACGGTGCCAATTGACATTTCCCCTGCCAGACACATCAGCAGCATTATCAGTGGGTGGAAACTGCACCCCTACAAAGAAAATGATCCGAGTACTAGTAATCAGAATCCTAGCAAATGCACAATAACGAAGACTGATTGATGGTGTGGATATTTAGCGCAAAGACCTGTGTACGAAGGAATTTAGTGCAAAGACCTGTATAATTAAGTCAAACCGTATTAAGTCAAAGACCTGTATAATTTAGTGGATATTTAGCGCAAAGACCTATATAGCAAGGAATTAAGTCAAACCGTATCCAAGAACGAGTTTACAAACGAAACAGCACACATCCAAACAGAGCATGCGAGAAAGGGGAAGAGAGGCGGGGAGGGGAAAAGAGAGAGACAGAGGGCTTGCTTGACTGGATACAGGAGACAGACGCATGCCAGTTGCAGTAGCAGTTACTCATGCCTTCAAATAAATAAAACCATCATCCGCGCACTGGGATGAGAATTTGAGTGGTCCCACAGAAGGAAAAAAAAAACACAAAAAAGAAATTGTCATAATGCGAATTCAATCTCGAGGAATCAAATCTCAAATTTGATACAAGCCCATGAGTCACAACGAGCAAAACAGGTGAACATACAACAAAAAGAAGAAGGTAAAAGAAGAAGAAGAAGAAGAAGAAAAGTCCACGATCAAAGATCACGAGTTCGAATATACTGACAGAATCAGACGAAAAGATAACATTAGGGGGACCCTATTCTTTTGTGGCTTTTGGAAGCACAAACCCACCCAGTTTATGCAAGTCATCCGCGATAGCAATCGCTTCCTTTGACGAGGATCATCAACAACTGCTAGGTCCTCAAGCTTGCGCACATGGCCCTCGCCGTGGGATGGGCAGCGGACGACAGTGGCAATCAAGGGCCTGCAGAACTATTATCCTGTCAAATGCGGAGCATCTGCACGCGCTTGACGACCTAGCTGTTGATCCTGAAAGAAAAAGCACATAAATACTAATAATAATAGTAGCAGTGATCAATAAAACAAAAAAAAGGATGCTCAACTGCACCTTCTGGATTTCTTTGGCCTCCGCATTTTGTTTCAGTTCCTCCTCAACATCTTGCCTCTCCTCTCCTTTCGGTTCTCTGCCTGTTCTTTCGTTTCCTCTACTGTCACATGTTATGGCTTAGGGTCTCCCTTTTCATCGCTCCTACCTTGCCTCACGCTTTCTATGCCTGTCCAGTTCTTACAATGGTCGTGCTACCCCTTCCCTATCCACCATCCAATCATCATC